TTTCATTATTTTTTGAAACAAATAAAAATTCACTAGTAGCTTTTTTCATACATCTAATAATAACTGTCCTCATCATCAAATATAATTTTATATTTATCCTCCAGCTGACCTTCCAACGATCCAATATAGAGTTTCTCGATATAGAGGGTGTCCCAGTATTACCAACCATCTCCACGCTGGTGAGTCAAGGGTAGAAAGAGAGTAATTTTCTCGTTCGTGACACGTATACGTACACACATGCGCGCGCGCACGCACACACACATATATATGTACACAGAGAGAGGGGAAGGTTTTACATGGGAGAGCGGGAGTTATCGATTTAATTCCCCGGGAAAACTGGCGCAGGGGAAACCGTTTGGGAAAGGGACTTTCGATACGAAGGTTCCGGCATCTCTCCCTTTGTTCAAGTGTCTCTCGGCTTGGAAGAGAAGGCTGAACAAAAAAAAAAAAAAATTCTCGTTTTTTCCCATCTCGTGGCGTATACGTGTGTATTGTCGAGCACATTGTTTTCGACACGTTTTCACATCTTGGAAAAAAGGCATTAGAACTTTTTACAATTTTTTGGATTCGATTTTTTTGCATAATAAATATTCGAGGGAATTTAAATGGAAGAGATCGTTTCATTTTCGTTTTTTTTTTTTTTCCTTGTTATATCTTATCTTTAAATGAGGATTTATATATCCCTTCATTTTTCTAATCGAAAACGAAACATAATCGGAAACGTATCAGGATTAGAATGTTACCGAGATAAATTCTTATTCAAATAATTATTGAGATGAAATTTTTATTTGTTGCATTATACTTTATTTTAAATAATATTATTTGAATAAAATATGTATTTTAATATTTTTATTTGACGTTAAAGATGTTTTTTTTTTTTTTTGTCGTTTGACTTTTATTCCCAAGACTCACTTTGGTTTTGTTCTAGTAAATAAATCATTTTAAAGAATTTATTCGCAAGTATTTTCATTTCAAATAAAAATGCTGAATTCTGCATTATTTATATGCAGAACAACTATACGAAGTTCAAGGATATATCGTGTCGAATCATCTTTTCGACTTTACACCTTTTGAAATATGATTAGTCTTTTCGTGGAAATATCATTTTTCTATCTTATTCATTCGATTCGTACGTCACGAGTATGTTTTATTTATCGCTATTTTATCATAATGAATATTATTTTCATGCATACTTATCCACAAACATGGATAATTAAAAAATATTAATTTAGATATCTTTTTACTTAGAATTGAATGATGGCAAAAATCGTAATATAAGTATAAATAATATATAACTAATATATAACTAATAATATAAAAACAATAGCATTTTATTAATCATTTATAATTCGAATTAAGATATGTTGAAATTATTCGAAGCTGAAATGAAGAGAAAGTAGAAAAAATAAATAGATCGATCCAAGATGTAGATTTTTTCGCGCGTATTGTTCCGAAGCATGGAGTGAGCAAATACGCATAACACACATTCCGCGGCCGGTCGTCGTCGAATCGTAAATGCGTGTACGGTTCTACGCGAACCAGAGGCTAGAGACGCGCTCATTCAGATGCGTCTCGCGTGCGTTTCTCCGCCGAAGGACCGGAAACTGGCTCGTCGTGCGTGCAACGTCACGCGTATCCGGTGCCCCGGAGTTCGTTTATCGAGGCCTGACACTTCCACGAAAGGCCACGCGCCGATTCTCTTTCCGCCCGTGCCCTTTTCCTCTAAGAGCTTCTTCATCTTTCGAAATCTCCTACGCGGTTTCCACTCTTCGAGGAATTGGCTTAACACGTTTATCCGCTATGTTTTATGGGCCTGGGTCACGCAAGCGTAAGAAAAAAGAACGTCAAGTTCGACTTTTCTTTCGTAATATTATATTATCGTCGAAAGTTTCGTTCTGTTACGATAATCATTTGAATAAAAAGTTAGAACGTCGATTTATGGACGATGTAACAGTTTATGTTTTTATCAATATCGTTTTGTGAAACGAAAAAATGTATCACTATTATTAGTAACTGTATTTTATAATTTTATAATCTTACTGCTTGCAATGCTTCAAAAATATCATTTGTTACATATCATAATGCATGGAATTGTTGATAAAGAATTTCAAATTTCATAAAGAATTTAGAAGGATTTCATTGATTTAAGGAATAAATCTTGTCGCATCATTTTTACGAATTGCTAACATGCGGGTCAAGGTTGTCCGTTTTCAATCTCTCTCATTCTCTGAAACGATGAGCGCGTCAAATCGAGAAGATTTAGTTTCCTTCCCAACGGGCCATCTGCGCCGCGAATCATAATATTTGCACGGCGTGCGACGCGGTCGATACGCGGAGAAAGAGGGAGAAAGAGAGAAAGAGAGAGATTTAACCGTGGCATCAGTTATGTTGTCTAAGAGGACTTAACATTGTATACGATATACAATAGTGCTCGATTACATTCAAATAGAATTTAAATGAGCAGGATTGCTTTTGCTCTTAAAAATTGATTGAAGTACAACTCGACAAAGTAGAAAGTAGATATTAAAAGAAATGAGATAGGTACAGTATGTTGAAGAGCGACAATTAAGATACGAAACTTCAAATTAATGTCACGAGAAAAAAAAGATAAAGAAAATTTTATTTTGTACAATTTTCATTATATACTTGTCGATGAAAAGATTTTTTATTGAGATTTCTTCGATACTAAATTTATATATACTTAGATGAAAAAAGAATAGATATTTTAGTTGAAATTAATTAACCGCTTTGTTACCTAACCTAATTTTGTTTGATGAATTTGATATATTCGTTTCTTATTTCTCAATTTTAGTAGATACGTAATATTTCTAAAGTAAAAAACAATTAAGACTAGTATATCACTTAATCCAAAACTATTTTATCTTTTCCACAGCCATTTACAATTGGCGGAGAGACACGCGATATGGTCTCCCCTTGGAAATTGGAGAAACGGTGCAGATTCTGGAGGAATGCGCAGGTAAAGTGACACGAATCGTTTGCAAATGCGTGATTCCGCGTATCATTTACTAAACTTGTACGAAAGGTTAGAATCGATCGATGGTTTGTAGGCTGGTATAGGGGCTTTTCGATCAAGAATCGCGCAGTCAAGGGAATCTTTCCCAGCACATACGTCCACCTGAAACCATGTAAAATCGAGAATGAGGGCTTGTTCGAGTCGGTGATACCTCTGGAGGATCCGGTAGTACGAGAAGTCACCCTCGTGCTTCGAGAATGGGGCGGAATATGGAAGAGACTCTATGTGGTGAGTGAGAGCGCCACCTTACTGCTCTCGAGTATAATATTTCCCCCTCCATCTTTTCGCGACAACGGACAAACAGTTCGTCGTTTCACGATAATAAATCCAGCTGTTATGTTATGACATACTTTCACGTTATGAAAAATGCACCCTTGAAAGAGAATAAAAACTTCATGCACGAATATCTCGTTCGAAGAACGAATTCTTAATGATCGAGTCTCGAGCGCTCTATTTTGCGACAATGCGTTCTAAACATAGTGGAAATGTTGCTAAAAAAACCAACCGTTCAGACTTGGAAGATTCTTATTTAGTACGAGATCGAGAACAGAAAGAAAATCACGATATATGCATGAAAGATCACGTTTGTAGCATGGCTTTTTTCGTATCATGTAAAGAAGACTGGAGCAAGTCGATACATTTTTAATATCTATTTTCAAAAATAGTATAAAAAAATAATTAAAAAATGTACAAAATATCGAGATAATTTATTGGTATCAAATTGTCTCGGTCTTTTACATTAACGATTCATTAAATGCATGTGCTTTATCTCTATTACTGGTAAAGTTTCCTGCTAAGCGAGAAATTTGACACATCAGAGGTTTTCATTTCAAGATTCGTATTGGTAAGACAATAATAACGCAATAAAGAAATCTTTTTTATTTCGCTTTTTTATTAATTAAAATTTCATTTTTTCTTACTATTTTCAAAACAAAATATAGATTTTATTTTATATATTGACCAATTTCAATTTTAACCTATAATGAGAATATAAAACAATGCTATATATTTGATCAAAATTTCATCAATATGTCAATGAAATTTCAATTAACAAATTTTAACAAATTTAACACAAATACATGCTTTAATGTGATCCTAAATTTCACGTATATTCTTAATCCTTTTTAAATATTTTTAGAATTACTAAAAAAACATAAATTATGAAATTATTTATTGTATATATAATTTAATGAATAAAAATCTTTAAAAAAATCTAAATAATAAATTTAAATTTAATAACATTTCGAAACTTTTTAAATTGAAATTCAAATAAAATATTTCAAAAATAATTTGTTTAAATAAATTATTATCATATTATTTTTACGAGAAATTCATATTTTTCAAATTCTTTTGGATAAAAAAAATTATGGAATGAAGAAATAAAGATCAGTTATTGGAATTATCAAAAATATTTTGATATTTTTTTTATATATATATATATTGAAACTTTTTTCAAATTTGCACGAAATTGATGAACATGTTTTCCCTAATTATAATTATAAATATTTTTGCTAAAATTGAATCAGGAAAGGGAGACCTACAAATTCAACACGTTGCGCAAAGTAATGCGGGAATTGCTGGAATGGCGGCGTCAACTTTTGGCCGGTACTCTTACCACCGATCAAACACGGGAGCTCAAGTTGCGAATAATCAACAAAGTGGACTGGGGAAATCGGTAAGTTTGAATTGAAAGTTCGAAATTGCGAATGATAAAGCATTGGTAATAGTATGCATATCCGAGTGAGTTGGTGTACAATCGAAAGTGAAATACCGCATTTATCTCACCAATTTCAACCGTATACTTAATGGAATTTATTGAACAATTACGAACTTCCTCTTATCATTACTTGCTTCGAGTTTAACTCGCTGAGAAATGTCACTAGTAGAAATTACCATCGGTCTCGGTTGGTAATACTGTTCGGCCGCTTTTATGAAACGGGTAACAAGAAACGGCTGATACATATCGTATCATATAGAAAGAGTATATTCTTTATTCTATAATTTGTTTGTTATATTTCTCTATTTGCTCCCGTTACATCTAATGTTGCAAGATGTTGGCAGTCTTTGCACTGACTTCGGCGGCAATCGTTACAAATGAGCATTTATATAAACATGACTTAATAATGATGAGTTTCTAGCGCTAAAATATTCAATATACTATAAAAAAAAAGGCACATCTGTCTCGTTTAACTTAAATATCTAATATAATCTATCACTTGAAACGCGACTAAGAGTAGCGATGTAACATACTTCACCAACTACAATAAACTACTATATATATAGTCATAAAGTTATTATCATTGCATATACTTATCGGCAGCATTATATTATTCTCGTGAACAAATCGAGAAATAGATAGCGAGTGAAAATGAATGTGAGCATTGAACAACGACCCTACGTTACAAATATATGTCAACGTTATTATGCTTCGTTTCGCGGAACTATGTACTCGTTCTTTTAACATAGAATTACTTAATATCGAATATTCAACGAACGCCAACATTGAAGTTGAAAGTTCCTTTAACGAAGCATTCGTAACATTGAAAATGAAAATACATCAAATATTTCTAAGAATCAATTCATCGACATATAATTTCTAATTTGTCAGATTTAAATTTTTTTATACAATTTCATTTGTAAGTAGAAGCGTATAACATAAAAATTAAACATAAACTCGATGGTACATCCCATCAAAATTGAATAAATTCAAATATTCAAATTATATACTTATTTTTAAGTCGATTCTATATATATTGTATATGTATTTACATATATACCCTTAACTTTTCATAGAAAATCATTGATAAACATTGCTTTGAATAATTTGGGAATGCCCCTACGTGTAAATTTAACAAAATTTGATATATGATAATCTTTTAAAATATAAAATTATTCACGCTAACTTTGTCACGGTAATTGCACCAGTCATACGCAAGAATACAAAAAAAAGAATACCTAAACGTTGAAGAACAAATGCTTGTTCTTACCTACTGCATTCATATAGGTGAACGGTACTTTTGAAATAAAGACTGCATAAATTCTATGCATCGAATATCTTTACCGTATAATTAAATATAAAAATATGTAAAAAATATAATGCTCTTTTGACCATTTGAATCTTTGAAGACCTTCGTATTTATTTTTATTATTTCTAGAAAAACTTATACAGTCTCTTTTCTATGCTTATCTCAAAAATAATAATTTGTTCAATACCACGATCTTTCCGTTCTTGTTTTTTCGTACAAACAATACGAATCGAAAGTAGTCCTAATATAACTTGTCGGTATTATTAACGAATAATATTGCAGTACTCTATCTCAGCGATCAAAAGACAATGAAACATCAAACGCAACTTAACACACTTCCTAAAAGGCACTTATTTCATCACGATACACACAACAAATTAATGTAAAAGGAATGTGCACGTGTAACGCAAATAGGAATCCAGGAACACGATCGATGCAAACATTTACGCGTAACGATTGATTTTCGTTGGAAAAAAGAATTGACCGCGTTCGCGCGCCGTTTGAAATTCCATAGCGATCATTCACGGGTGTTATTGTTGCACGCCTCGACGACGCAATCCGTTACTATAGGGTAGCGAATACGACGAACGTTACGCAACATTAGAGATAATCGACGAACACTTGTGCGTGTGAAATTCGGCTTCCTATAATTTAACAGAAATGAACGATTATACACATGTCGAGCCGAAAGTATCGCGTATCGTTTACATTACATATTCGTTTGATAATCTAACATTAGTTTGTGCTATAGATAGTACAAAACACGGTCACAATGACAGATTTATAATACGTGTTATGGCAAATTAATTTTACTATATATCTTCCGGACGGCAAGTTTTATCTGTGTACGTTGATACATCCAGGTTGGAAAATAAATGGCGGCAAGATCTCGTTTCTGCCGTGTGTCCGTGCGATTAAATAATATCATATACTTCTTTTTTTTTGTTTTTTTTTTTTTTTTTTTTTTTTTTACGAAACAACTGTCAATAGCACAAACGTTTCAGAAAAAAAAAAAAAACCAAAGATGTCAGAAAAGACATCTTCGGCATTATCACAATGCAAAATAAAAGGCAGAAATAAGATCATAGGATGTAAGAAATTAAATCTCGGTATCTTTCGCGTATTTCTCGATCTCGGGATAGATAGGCGACATCTCGAGAGTGCTGGGCGCTGATGGCACTGACGTTGGTGATGCTCCACTCGTCGATCCGAGATTCAACTGACGACACAGCTCGTCTAACACTTCATTGAACATCATTATATTCATGTTCTGTCCTAATAGATGAAGCAACAGGAAGTCGCCGACCTGAAAATTTACATTGATATAATGAATACGTTTTTGTCACGAAACATATCATGGATTATGATTACTCTCGAAATCGGTTATTACAATCGAGAAATAGTTTCGCAATTGTGTATCTAATTAAAAATCTCGTGGGTTCGCAACGGTTAATCTCCTTTTGTAATTTCGATACGTGGCTATAAACAGTTAAAACAATTTAATCGATTAAGAAATACGTTGACCACGTAATTACCTGTGTCTCTCTAATCAGAGCACTAACACCAGCTGGCGTGCCAAATTTGAATCGTTTTCTTAGAATGGTTTCTCGTGTACTGGGCAACAACACCACCGCCATGCTATAAAGCAAGGCGATACCTGATAATACCGCCAAAATGATGAACCAGAACCAAAGGAAGATATAGATCTTTTCGTTGAGAATGTTCAGGGCAAGTACGCAGAGAGCATCGAACTTTTGAATGGTTCCAGAAGCACCGAATTTATGGAACGTACACTTGGTGACTCGAGGGAATACTTCTACCATAGGATCGCTGCGCTGCTCTTGATTCATGTTGCTGAACTTGAGTACATCCGTACCGTAGGATAGAAATGCACCGCCGAGAAATGTGTCGATGAAAAATATATTTCCAACCTGGAATACAAATTTTCTATTTTAAACGTGATTTTGAAACAACCAACTCTCTTGTTCTTTTCCTCTGAAACCGGTAATGTGACACAAAATTCTTTATTTATTTTTCAGTAATTTTTTTTATCAACATTTGATGAGAATAAATAGAAAAAAAAATCTTATCTACCTCCTGAAATTTTACGTTTAGCCCATTGATCACATTGTTGAGCTATCCCTGGTTCTTTTGAATGATCATTCTCGTCAAAAAAAAAAAAAAAAAAGAGGAAGAATCTTTTATCCTCGATACGGTACACTTACCACGTTAACAAAGTTGAGGGCCTCGCAGAAGAAGTATCCAGCCGCGTAAGTATTGTGCAGGTGCAACGTGTCGGAGATGTATTTTGCCAACCGTTGGGACTTTGCCTGTCGCTCGGGCTTGTTATCGAGCAGAGCTCCCCTCATGCCCTCGGATATCATTCTGACCTTGCCCTCTTCCCACTGCTTCCATATCCAATGGGGCATGTAGAATAGAATACCTTGGAAGAAGAGCATGAAGGGCACCCACTGATAGTAGGAGTGATACCTCTTTTCCCCAATGTCACCGCCGAGCCCGGGGTGAGCCACATGAGTGCCCACCGGTTTTGCATTGTTGTGTGGTAATGTGAACGTGTACGTGATCCAGCAGTATGTGTTTATCACGTTTTCCGGCACCCCTCCATCGCTCAGGCAGTTTATCGGATCACCTGCAAGTGTATCATCCGTTATTCTTGATATTTTGACTTTTTTTTTTTTTAGAAGCTTTAGAAGCAATACACAATGTTATGTTTCGTTGTGACTAAAATATTTATGGATATAATTTTACCCGAATTTTTTGACTATAAACAATAATATTTTTTAAATATATAAAAATCTTTGGCTAGAAAAATTCTTTTCACTTAACATTCGTTGGTATGATTATGAATATTATTTAGTATTTTTAGAGATAGAGATTTAAGGTTATATACAAGTATCGAGATCGCCTGATCAACATCCGAATTTTTCCGACCAATCCCAAAATTCAAATTTCAAGCAAGATTATTTCCAGTGTCAGATAAGAAATCTTTAAATAAATAGAGCAATATTTTTAGCAACATCAATGTTGAACACGTAAAAAGATTACATTAAAGAACCAACACACACTGACATGAATTCTCAAATTGCGAACGACCTCGTTAGATTAACGGCCACGTGTTATCCGTTTGATTATAAGTGCAATTGCGCGTAAAATTATGCAACCAGAGATTCCCTTTCCTTGTCTGTCAACGGGAGAACATTGAACGGTGATTCGAAGTGAATACAGGATGGAAAAGGACCCGCGACACATGTGCAAATCGTTAATGGTGCATCGTGCGCGGCCCCTGATAGGTTGCTAGTTAAATGACCAGATAATGCGCTGTGATTGTCAGGAATCTAGTTTGGAAGCCTCGTCATACGCATGACGAATAGCTGTAACCCGTGCTGTATCTACCGATAAATAAGCACGTGTGTCCTCGAAATGGAACACCGTAGTGCACGACTTTCAATCACGACCGTCTGCGCACCCTACGCGATGCGTATCGTGACGCCTGCGCACTGCGTTTATGCAACCGCCGGTTGATCTGTGACCCGTTGTCGTTTCTCCCATACGACAGATAAGAGGATCATGTTTCTTCCTTAATTCACTTACGAGTGATAATAAGAAATAAGAATAAATAATCGTGGAGGAAGATTTAAGTGAGTTATCTTGAATCTTTAAAACATTCGTCTTTAAATATCCCTGCATTTACGTATATTACGAATTTCGATTCTGAGCTTCCTTCAGATCGGTCAAGTTATTCAAATTCAAGAAAACTGTTTTACCAGTATGAACTTGTGTTACTTATTTGGCTTGAAATATGCTTTCAAGTTTAAACGCCTCGTTCTCAGTCATCAATTGACTTGACTTTAAATAGCTTATATTCCTGTAACTTAAAATCAGGTTATGAATGTGAATCTGTTATTTGATTTCGTTGGAAATATTCTTTTAAGTAAAATTAAGATTCTTTCAATTTTCTTAAAAAACGAGTTACAAAAATGAACAATATATTACAAAATTTCTATCATTATTATAAACATTCCAACAAATATCATCGTCTTTAATGCTATTTCTGATAATTATTACTTTAAGTTAAGTTTGATTTTGAACAAAATTTAAATTTATCAACGACTGTCTGATTCGAATGAGTTCACTTGTTCAAATTTACTTTTGTACTGTGAGATAATATTCTTTCACACATCTGTTTTTACTACTCATACTCTTGATGGATCTCTTGAATCCCTTTTATTTAAAAAATAAAAATAGAAATAAAAATATAAAAATATTACTTTTTTCTCATGAATTAAGGAAAAAAAATTTTTTATATATAAATAATATTATACAAATTTTTCTATTAAAATAATCTTTTAGAAAAAACGATTAATATTATTTAAATTGATTTTTTAGATTTAATTTTTTATAGATTTCTTGATTTTATAATTATATTATAATTTTTATTAAAAATAAATTGATTAATAAATTTTTTATTCTATAATTATTCAGGATTCCGATTAAAGAATAGCAGGTTAAAATCAGAATTTCCAAGTTAGATGAATTTCTTTATAAAGATAATGTAATAATAAAAAATTTTTTAATAACAGTATACGTAATGCAAAATAGCAGAAATATTTTTTTTGAATTTTTCTATAATTAGCAAAAATGAAAAAAAAAAAAAGAACAAACTGACCGCGGCTGCTTACCTATTAGATTATTAGCACAAACGAGAATACAACAGGCGAACAGGATCGCGGAGGTAATCCTGTAGTGCGCCCTGAACACCATATTATCGATGACTGCCTTGTCCACTAAGTACCGTACCTTGACGAACCCGGCCACAGCCGAGACCAATCCGAATACCGCCATTGTCGATTACCGTATTCCTGGAAACAATCAAAAGACATACTCGTCATTCACGATTGCCGGTGATGTCGTTGTTCAGAGAGGTTATGAACACGGCGATTGCGCGCGCATAATATATTTATCCATATGTCAATATCGATAATCGTAAAGATCGAAGTTACGTTAATCTCATTAAAAATCTCTTCATCTCGATATTTTGCGATAATTTCGCGTTCATATATATATATATATATATATATATCAATATCGATATCGAAAATCGAAGTTATATTAACCTAGTTAAAGATCGTTTATCTCGATGACAATGATTATGTGTGTATATTATCGATATCGATAATCGTAAAAAATTTACGTTATTTGATTAAGAATCTTTTTTTTATCTCGATTAAAAAAATCTCGAACTCGAAAAAATCGAGACAAATTAATTGCAATAGTATAGTAATCGAAATTGCGATTTTTTATCATCGATATGATCACCTTCAGCATTCGAGCCTTTACATTCTTGTCGCGTAAATCAGTTATACACTGGTGATGAGTCAATGCTCTTAGAAACGAATGAACAGAAAACGCCAACGTCTTTCGGCTCGCGTGATATTTAATAATGCATCGTATATATCTTGACTTTTTAATCGGTTAGAGTGTCGACGCCCTCGACGTGATATCCATGCAATTAACGTTAATAATAGACTTAACAAATTTCATCGTACGGAGATGCCATGTAACTTAATAATCGTTAGCTATTATATGTATATCTATATATGTATATCTTATGCGGTTTCGAGATTAAGAATAGCTTTTATCGAAGTATTACGATCGAATGGTGCAAGGAAAGAAAAAGTGACATGATATAAATTCCATAGTATATTTTTAAAATAAATATGAGTTTTGAAAGTTATAAATCAATAATTCTTAATTAATAATAGAAAGAGCAGTGAAATTGAATGATAATTGAATAATTTGTGCAATATATTGTATAAAAATTTTAAATATTAATGTGTACGATTATTTCAAACGCAAATTATCTCAGAAATCAAATATATATATATATTTAATATATAATTTTAAGTTTCTTTATTTTTTACTTTTTATATTATTAATTTGAATTTTATTATTGATACTTTATTTATCTCGACAAATTTTTCATAAAAGGATTTTCTAACATAAAAAAATATATTAAATTTATTTTTTTAAATTTTTAAATTCTGATATTTTATTAAATTAATTCCAAACTTTTGAAAATATCTTAGTGATATTATAATTTTAATTAATTTTAATTTGACAGTACAGATTATAAAAAAAAAAAAAGATTGAGAACCGTTATTAAGAAGAAACGAAGGAACAAAAGAAAAGGGGATAAAAGAAACAGAGAAAAGATGAAACGCGGATGATATTGATCGAATATAGCAATTGGAAGGCGACTATATCAGCCAAGTTTCGTCCTGTTTCGTCAGTCGAGGAACTCGTTCACGGAGTAGCAAGGTTGTCACAACAGGAAACGGCAGATGTACGCGAAGGATCGATATACATAAAGAATCGTCACAGCACGCTCTTCAGACTGTGGATTGTTCTCTGGCGGAAAACAAAAGCTCGCTCGAGACTAAGAACGAACGACCATAGCCATCGACTAGTTGGATTTTTCGTTTGGCATTGTCGTCGAGTAGATTCTCCCTTTTTTACCGGTGGGGCGAAAAACGCGCGAAAAACGTGTTATTTAATGCGCGTCAAACTGTGGGCTTTGAGCACACTGCGCCGAGTGTGTAACGGCGACTCGATTCGATGAGAAACGACCGCCATTTCCATCGCGGTCGTTCGAAGCCATTGCCCTTTCAAGCTTCAACGCGACATTTCCAACGAATAATTGTTTTTTTTCTTTTTTCGAACGACGAAAGTTGCAAAAGAAATTCGATATGCTGAAGTTTAATTTTCTCTTTCCTCTGAACGATGCGTTCTAAATTTAAACAAATTTCTCGTAATAACGAGATTCGTGTGTATCATATCGCGTGTAATTCAATAGGACAATTAGTTGAAGTTTAAAATAAGACTATTTTAAAAACGTTCCCAAAGATCATCGGGTCCGTTGCGCTGAAATAGCCGGACTCGTGGAGTCGACGTAGGATGTTTATTAGTTAATTAATTGATAGCAGAGACGAGACACGTGCCGTTGCAAAGGGTCAATTCGCAAGCGTACAGAATTGCCACAGTGACATAGACGTGCACAGTGAATTACTTTTTCTTTCACTATCAAATTTTATGATTGCCTTTATATTTATTAACACGGAAAATTGTCACATTGGAACAAATCGTAAAGTTGTGCCATTGGTACAAGATAAATGTGGTTAACGATAAAATTACAAGCTTATTAGAGTTATATTTCGAAATTTCTTTCTAATGTTTCCATGTTTGAAGCGTTTGTAAATGATCGCAACAAGCGCACGCGCACGTCAGCAAGAAGGGGATCGTGTGTAATTTCAAACGATCTTATCTGGTACAATCGTTCCAACGTGACGGATGACTTAAACCGATCTATAATTTTTACGAGGCTATTATCCTTTACGAGTTCTTCTTTTTCGTATCTTCCAAGCATTCCTTCTATCCTTACGTTTTCTTTTTTATTCTTACGTTTTATCTATTTTTCGTCTAACGGTCCGTTCAAAGTTTTTCTATCCTCTTCTTTCGATAATTCTAGTCACGCGCGTTCCACACGTACGTAAATCGCACACAAGTTCAAGCGAGAGTTCGACCGCGCAGCATCGCATTTTCGCGACAACGGTTTTACAATTCCTTCTTCACGCTTCTTCGAAACCTTCTCTCGGTTAACGAACATACAAGTCAAACCAGTTGCTCGGCTGTTTCTCGTGAAACGGGAGAAGGGGAAGCTTGCCGAGAGTGGACATGCTGACGACACGAGAAAAACGCAACGCTTTCTACCGCCAACGTCTCTAATAATCGTTCCAACGATTCACATCAGGTCTATCAATAAATTTCTTATTTCCACTTTAATACTTTGTTTATTTTAATATTTTTTTTTATTTTTATCGATGATTCGAGAAATAAAAATTTCTTTGCTCGTCGATTATTAATTTATTAAAATTTGATTATAGTTTGGTATAATGGATTTCATCAAATCATCATCAATATTAGGCATTAGACAATTGGCCATCTATTCGAATACTAATCGTTCAAGAAAACACATCTATTTGGCAAACTCATTGGCATAAAATTTCTTAAAAGTAATTTTCTTGAAGGCAATCTTCTAGAAACTACAAAGCTACGAGCTGCGATTCGTAATATTCTAACGACATAAATATTTCATGGTAAATGATTATTAAGGTTACTATAATGTTATTATAGAAATTATTTTCCTTTAAATTCTTCTGTGTGTGTAGAAGGGAAATGTAATACGAAACAATCAATTATTCGTTTTCTAGCATTCATCTTAATATTATTCTCCTGACTTATTTTTCTCTCCTTCAATCGTTTCACGTTAATACGTAACACGTGGCACTATGCACTTACATATTATAATCTCCATGTGCATTCTCAGAATCGTTCTTCGGCCACAATCGATATTCTATCACACATATCTGTTTCATTCGATACATATACACGCTAATGATTTTCATTCCTACATCAAAATGTATAATCAAAATGTTTTTGAAAAGAATTCAATATGTAAAATAAATAAATTTCGATTCGCAATAGAAATATTGTGATGATGTATTCTCGAAGAAAATGATCATATATTTGTTATATAACGCAGAATAATTGTTGATTGTCATTTTAAATAATTTAAAATTTTTTTTCTACTAGTATCGTCGAAAATTCGTCGTGAAATATCCTTCTGTGTAACACATTTCTTATATGAATTGGTGGTTTCTGTGTCTAGCTGATAATCGACGTTAGGCGTTACGTTTGAAACCGAAGGAATGGATAGGAATCCAAAGTAACCGCAAGACGTTGATTTTTCGCTGCGACTCTTGTAACCGCAACGAGTAGTTTCGTGTACACTGCATACGAATCGTTGTTATCGGATTACGGGTCGAGGAAACAGGTTTGGGATCCATGGTCCACTCCTTATTCGGTGAAATATCACTAGAGCCGGTTAATCTTGTTCAATTTCGATCATATACTCGATCATATGCGTAAGAAAATATTGAAGATTTTAGAAATGGTAAGTTAAAGTTAAAGTAATTTTATTTCATATCAATCTTGTTAGGATAAATAAATTGAAATATATTTTTTCATCTTTAAAAAGTTCATATGGGCTCTCTAAAATTATTATTCGCTCTTTTCTGATACGAACCGGAATATACGCGACGAAATAACGATTGTTCGGGAGTCTATATTTGAGTATTCCTAATTTGCGCAGAATTTATGCGCGATACCACACACGAGAATCGATAATTGCCGTGAAACGTGATTTATACGATCGTATGATGAACTTAATGAAGGGTAACGCCGAGCACGAATCGAAAAGTTACCACCGTCGAAGTTCTTAAGTGCGCTATCTATCTTAATGACAGAGAAAAACGATCTCGAAAATTTCTCCAATTAAACAGAATTGCTTGTCTGTATTGTTTCGCTAAACGTCGGTTTCCTATTTCGCGTATTCTTACGCGATGACGTATACACGGATGATGCAAAAGCAACTTCACGGAAAGGAATCCACAACCATATCACGAATTTTCTTTTCCTTCCTTGTAAATACGCGCGAAAAAAAAGTGGTCAAACGTTTCAACATTATTACGTATACATTATTACGACCCAAATTCGATCCACAATTTCAAACCTTGAAATTTATCGTTGTATCCTCCGTGCAATGTTTTCTGGGAGGCGAATTTCAGAATTCATATATCTCGACACAATTGTTTTCATCTTCTTTCGATTTTCGACCACAAAGAACGAAACATTCGGTGAGTTATCCAGGTTACATCGCGCTGCCGCCATTGTTCGCCGTTCCTTTTTATCGGAATGTTTCTCACGCGGAGATAAATTGATTCGTGCATTTGCCAGTGGGTGTAATTTATACGCGGTAAAGTCAGAATCGAAATTAGAATCGGATTCGATTTCATCGACATGAAAACGTGTAAGAACAAATAGTCTTTGTCCATTGGGACGGAATCGAGAGAATAGTGATACGGGCCAGAAAAGTGAGGTTATGAAACATGCCGGCTGGCATTTAGTTGGGTTAGTGTTCTTGTGAATGCTCCGCGTCCCTGTAATTTATTCCACAGCCGAGAGAGTTGCGTACCCTGCCCTGTGAGAAAACTTTATTAAATGTTTATTGAGGTTCCAGAGAGGTAGCAACCCGCGGGAATCCTCATACATTTTTATCAGCTCGAATAGCAGGCAAAGATCGCCGACCTCAATTAATTACGTTCCTCCCTACCGGAAAATAACTTGGAATGAAACGAAATTAGTTCACTTTACAGCAATTTTGATATCCAACGGATGGTAAACTCCCTAGCTGTCATTTTCTTTCGTTATTAATTCCCAAGTAATCCCATCCTTAGATTATTAGAAAGTATTTAATTATGTTTTTTTAATTTATTTTCTTTCCTTCAAATATTCTATTTTAATGAAGAAATTATTTTGTGAAGTGTGTCGACGAAATTGTTGCATGCGCTATAGGCATTGAATCACGTTTAACCTATAACGGAATTTTTCTAATTTAATTATAAAATTTTTTGTACAAGAATGTTATTTATTTTATTTATTCTTCAATTTCATACGATTTTGATGAAAATCAATATTTTTTGGTTTATAATTGCAAAATGGATGATGTATCGCTTTCATAAATTTGTTTTTAAGTTAATTATTGATTTAAAAATTATTGATTTTCCCCCAATTTTTAATTTTTATAATCGAAATAACGCCAACGTCCATCAAAAACGATTAAGAGAAATTATCCGTGGCATTTTTAATAAATTAAATCATTTAACCTTAATTTTTTTATTTATATTGAGACAAATTGTAACTTGGAATTATAAGCGAAATCAATTATATCAAATGAAATAATTAACGGTTTTTGCGGAAAACAAGTTTCTCGCATTGCGTACACGTGATTGTTTTTTTCGGTATGATCTAAGGACGAGTTCAGTGGTTTCCCGCGGAAAGGGAATTTACAGTTAACTCTTGCGTTTACGTTTGCGGTAACCACATCTCGAAACTTTTAAAATCTGTCGATTGTCCGATCAAATTCACTCGACCGAGTTAGAAACTGTAAACCGGCGAATAAAACCGTCGATCGATCGCTTTTGAACGATAAAGAAAAACTTCAGTTTTGGTTAGAATTAACATCGTTGCTTCGTCAGAAGCGACATCTGTTACTTTCTCGACAATAGTCTATCCAACTTGTAAAGAGAAGAATAGTAACGAAGTAAAAGGAAAAAGAATCAAAGTACGTGAACCTATCCTTGGTACGTGTAGACCTGATGGCAAACACGGGAACCTTCTCAGTCGTGAAATTACTCGGTAAACATGCCGTGTCGTCTAAAGAACTTCTCTTCCTCAGTATATTCGAATTTTCTAGTAATTCTCTTATTTTTATCGATGTCGTTTTGTCTTGAAAACTTAAAAGAATAAAATAAAAATATAGATAGAAACCAATAGAATAATTTTTTTTTTTCATTAAAATATCAAAATATATCTTTATGACAAATTGTAATTAATGGTAAAAATAAATTTATGACAATTTTATAATCCAAATATTTTGTAAGATAATTTAACATAAATTTATAGAAATCAATGACAAAAATAAATAAACAATTAAATTGCGAGATATTTTAAATTCAGTCCTTTAATTTTTAATTAGGAGGGAAATGTTTTATAGAAATTTATATATGAAAATTAGTTAACTTATTTTTTCTAACAAAAAAAAAATGATAAAATTTTTCAAATGCTACTTAGAATATTCTAATTGAGAATAATTTATAGCGGAAGGTTAATCGTAGGTAGACCATGCTTTCGCAAGTCTTGTACCGTAAAATTGTTCAAGGATATCCAACGACATCAGTGACTTAACACTAGTTTGACTACATACATATGTACATTTCGAGATTCAAGTCGTGATGAATCGCATGAAAGGATTACGCTGCGCCGCTGTGTATTGCATATCTTTGTTATCGCGGGCGAACAATATCGTCGGAATGAAGGGCGTGCGCCTCGTCATCGAGTGAAAGGTGAATGCCAGCTCAATTTCGTGGCGACGATAAAAAAAAAAATCCCAATTAACGAGATCTCGACGTTGAATCGCATTTGCGCGATCGATGAAATATATCGTGATAGAATTTTTCAATGCCAGATTATTTGATCGATATATATCGTATAAACGTGATGTAATTTTTGCTATCGAGATAATAGTCGCTTGAAGAAAATGCTTGACCAGCGACCTGAAACGAAGCGAGAATGAGAAACGGAAGACAATGCCTACGGTATTATATCGTTCTAAGATAAAATGATCTGCTTTGTTCAAATGATGCATCAATGGTATTTCAGATGCATAATATGAGCTTTATGATTCATACATGTTGAATGCTCTTCTTTGGAAATCGAGAATGATCAATCGAAATGTAGAAAGAAGAAGAAAGAAGAAAGAGGCTTTTGACCGCAATACGTATATTATATTTCATAGCACGTCGCGTCGGTCTATGAGAAGAACAGGCATTGACAAATGTTATCGTATATTGACACATAAGGTGCACGTAAATTTTAACCGCATCTATATAAATATTTTAGAATAAAATTTGGATATTTAATTATATTTAATTTATTATGATATGACACATTGCAGATTTCGTTTTTATTCAACGAAATTATTATTTATTTATAAATATTTTAAAAAAATTTTATTTTTCATGAAATATTAAATTAGTTTTTAACTATTTATAAATAATTTATCTATAAAAGAATTGAAATTTCAAGTTGCAGAGATAAAAGATTCTCTCGATCCTCGATGTTTCAGATTCCGGATAAACTAGTTTTGCGACAAACGGCCAGACATCCCGCGCATATCTTTCACGCATTCTCTTCCCCCTTTCGAATGAGGTTAACAGCCGTTTCTCTGCCGGTAATTTCTGTCCAGTCTCGAAAGATCGAAAGATCATAGCAATTTTTTCATTGTAATTCGATTTTTAGCAACAAATGTATCATCAAAAACCAATCCAAATTTCTTTCGTAGGATCGGTTTCATTTAAAAACTTGGAAACGAAATTACACCGCCAAGTTTCGACTGTTGCACGAAACAATATTTGAGATCTTTGTCAAAGTTTCAGCGAAAACGTGATTAAACTCGGATTTCCTATGTATACAGACACTGGTTTACCGCCGGTGTTTCGAGTAGAGATAATGTCGTATATCTACAGAGTTTTGTATGCAAAACCCTCATCATTCTTTATCGGGATTTTATCTATGGTAAAATCTGGAAGCGTATCGCCGAGGATCCGTCTTACAGTTACTTACATTTGAGCTTGACAATAATAAGCTCATTTTTCCGAAGGATTTTATTTTTACTTGAACGATACATTGTTTTTGAAAAATTTTTGAATTGAAGATTGTACAGTAAAAGAAAAGGCAAGTTCATTTTTTAACAATTTTTAAATTATTATATATAACATATTTAAAGAAAAAAATTTAAATCATATGGTGTAAATTAAATAGAAATGTTGGTAAACGATTTATTATAGATTTTAAAATTTATTACAAAATTCATGCAATAAGAACGCAAAAATTTTTGTTATTTTATGCAATTAGTATACAAATCCTAACATATGTCTTTTGCATTTAATAAAAAAACAACATTTTTGTTCTGTGTTTTATTGTTTATTACTAATAAAAATTATTATTTTTTTTAAATATTTTTATGCATATGGAAGGATAATTAAAATAATTTTACAAATTTTAATTTCTTTAAGTTTGTTAAAAATATGAATCTGTCTCTTTGCTGCAAGGTCAACTGTCCGAATGAAATTTCAAAGGACACAATAGACAGCGGTCGGTAATGAGGAACAACAGATAGCTATGGAAAGTTCAGGAAAAGGCTAAAATTTCCAAATACCGTTCGATAGTATATTTACTATTTATGATTTTCGTTCATAAAAATTAATTCCTAGGCAATATTTTTCTATTTCGAGAACTTCAATATTATTATATTAACTATATATGATTGTTCAATGATGATAATATGTAATTAACGTTTGAAAGGACGCGTTCGAACAATTGGAGTCGATTGAGCGGCCTTAATAAGTCGGGTAGGTTGTGCGGAAAATAATTTGTTCAAGCGACACGTGGCTGTCGAAGAAAATTACTAACCGTGTTTTGAATGATTGTTGTCGGTGTATACTTACACCGTACAACTCAATTTATGCTATTTGATACATAAACATAAACAGAGAATCATGTTCAAGCTATGTTCATTTGTTTCGTTGCTTTCGATGCGTCACGATTACATTGAAAACTATCATCTTTCGACATTTTTAACGTTCTCCATGCGAGATAAAAATTATCGAGTTAGTTGTTCCATATAAAGTATAGGATAGGTTGTGAAACCTCGAGCTCGAAGATTTCTCGACAAATTTTTCCACCACCACCACCAATCTTATTATATCCAATGTATAATAATAAGAAAAGAAACGATCGCAATTTTATTTGAACAATACCTTTTTTTAATCAGCACTGTCGGCTTGCAAGCTCTTTCCGATAATCCACGTCGAAAACTGACAAAATCCGTACTGACAGATTCCGTGGTTGTTTTCCCACGAGCCAATAGCGCGGGAAGCTCGCGCTTATTGGCCAATTGACTTTTTTCTTCTTGCAAGACGTTGCTTTCCTCAAAACTTTTCTTTAGTTGTAACTGATTTCTTCTTTTTCTCCTGGTTTATTTCAATGAAAAATTACCGATTCTTACACACCTCACACTGCGTCACCGTTTACCCGTTAATCGCGTGTTTCGAATTTGTTTCGATCCTCGTTAGGGAAACGTGCTAGGACGAAATCGAGAGATAAGAAAGGGAGGGGAAGGATAAGAATAATGAAGCGTCGTTTTGAAAGTTAATGTCTGCGCGGTACATCAAACTTACTCTCTTTCTCTCCCCGCTCTTCTTACGTTCGTTGTCGCGTGAGTTGGCGTAAACGGGTATTTTGGAAATCGTTTCGAAACTTGAGACAAGGCCGAGTAACACACCAACGGGGCCCAGCGTGCGAACAGCAACTGAACCGAGAGACTCGTTCTGGGCCCCACTGCTCCCCGCCATGTTGCTTCGCCGAGTTTCAAGCGTGGGGGCGACTCTATCAGGTGCGTATAGTTGCCTTTGAAAATCAGCCACGCCACCACGATTCACCATGAATCGGTTGCATTGCTCTTCTTTTCTTTTCTTTTCTTAACTATTCGCCTTCCGGGTGTGTTTGTGAATATTATACGATATCTATTCTGTGATGTTTTGCAATATAAATGAAGGATAAAGAATTATAAAACAACAAATAATTATGAACATTTTTCAGTTATTCTTTTCTTACCGCTAATATTTCGTTTTAAATAATTTTCGTAAATATTTGACTTTAAAATATATTACAATATATTACAATGGAATAAGTATTTATATAATTTATTATAAAAATATTATACAAACTTGATCTCAATATTGCAGTAAATGTGAATCCTCTTTTCTAGATTTTGAATTTCTATTATTATCTACTTTTATTCGAGTTTAAATTTTCGATTCGTATCATATGTCTGTAAAGAGCAACCGTAACCACAGCATCTGAAAAGAGAAAGGAAGTGATATTTCTTTCTCTGTCTGTAGAGCTCAAGGTTTTCAGCTCAGTGAATATGCGGTATATAACCATACCGGGAACCTGTTCCCCCTGGCAGAGGAGACTCGGCTCTTTAAAGCTTCTCTTCTTGCGTCTTCCCCTTTCATCTTCCTTTCTCTTTGCTTCTCAAATTTTTGACTTTATAATAAAGATTACAAATTAAATTTTTAACAAATTTAATATATTTTTTCTAAAAAATTTATCCAAAATTTTTCTATTTTTATTTCCTGTTATTCTATCGTTATTAAAATAGTAAAAATTATATTTTTTCAGATTAAAGAAATTATATCAAACAAAATCGACAATATTATTCTATTTTAAGCAATAACAATCTTTTCTCTAAATGAATGTAAAGAAAAGATTTGCGCAACTCGTTTAAATAAATTTCTGATGTAATGTCGATGCTGTCTACCAGTTTTGTTCGTATATGTGTACGAGTAACGGTTCTATCAATGACCGCAGACAGAATTTCTTTCTTCGCATTTTCTTCTGACGTCACTTACAGAATTGAATTTTGGTAGTTTCAAATGCTTGATCGTGTTAAATCAAATATGGATGAGAAATAAATTATTCAACATGTTTCATTTATTTAATTACCAGGTACTAATGATGGTTAAATTACACAGCTTTCTTTTGAACATATATTGAGCAAACGACAACATTTATTATCCATCTCGTAATTATTAGTAATTTATTAGTAATTATTATTATTTCTAATAAGCATGCCTCCAAACTCCATTTCGCATGCCCTCTATAAATCTTTCTTTCTTATTTCTTCATAGTCTCATCTTTTTCTTCGTTTCTTCTTCATTTTGACGTGTTGCTTCCTTGTTGGGGTAACACGATGATACGGAATGAAACTCTAGACCACATAACATGTTCTTCTTTTCAGGGTTTTCCAATTCTTCGAATTCTCTGAATCCAGTAACTAAATGTATCCATTACTGATTTTACCGAGAAACATTATTGCTTATTTTAAGTATAAGTCACAATCATCGAACATCATAAGAGTAATTAAATTTGTAAAATTATTTTTCGCTACATTTATATTTTATTATCTATTGGTTCCGAACTTTCGGTTCACATTTACATAACTGGTACTAATCTTAAAAATAAATACAATCATCGGAACTTTTCTTTTTTTTTATTCAAGATATTCAGAGGTCATAAACCTTTGATAATGCTCCGTATCAATTTTTTCAGTTTTTTAAATTTATTCATAAACAATAAAGAAGCACAATTTGGATTGTACCAAAAAAAAGATGATATTTCTCAAAATGCAAGCCTATTTATCGAGAAAAGATTCTCGAAGGTTGGGAAACGCTGCCATTATTCTCCGTAAGGTAATAGTCTTTTTCTTTTTGCTTTCGTCTTGGCGTAGCACGGTGCTGGCGTTGTTCTACTCGGGCCCAGGGCTGTACGATGAGAGGTAGCGCATCGTGAGGGGGAAAAGCGCTTAGGTAGGGGAAGTTCCATGGTACATACTCGGCTACCGACGTGCTGCTACCTTCGATGAAAGAAATTTAATGAATGGCAACGATCGTCGAACTTAATAAGCAGTACATTTAATATCGCAAATCAGTATTTTTTCTTTATCCTTTTTTTTTTATGTGCTATTTGAATTGTAACTTAAATCTACTATATATCATACCATTTCTTTTCTCTATATTGTGTTTGACTGACATAACAGTTCAAACAAATACATACATGTATTCGAAATCAGGAACAATCTTTCTTATTTTATAGAAGCAGCGAACGATCTTTCTTTTTTTCGACATCAAACAAATACGTAAATGTGAAATTTATCTTATGATCATTGTAAAAGAATCAAAATGATCAAATTTAAAAAATACTATCTTCCTTTTGGTTGTGATCACACAAGACGAACTTTAATGCTCGTTAGTGACGAAAAACTGAAAGGTTCGCGGCTAATCGCGCTTAATCGCGCGTCATTTGATCTAATTGAGATCGTGGAGGCACGGGGATTTGGCCCTGACATCTATTACTACTACCACTACTACTACCACTACTTTCGTATCTTCTGCCAAAGAAGGCCGACGTCGCACGGAACTGCAACTGCACTCGGGAGCGCGGTCATGAGTCGGCACTGGTTTCCTTGTGGTGGAACTCGGTGCGAGTAACGTTTCATTGTGTGCGTGTATACCCTCGGGCAAACCAGACGCGGCATTCGTCTTCCCACGAACCCTTCGCTATTCGTACGAGTCTCGTTACTCGTTCCGGGATCAGGAAACACTCCTATTAAGGCCGTTTTATACGGTCGCGGGAAACCGTGCTCTGTACACAAGTTGTCAGCGCAACTTCTATAGATTTTATTCCATACAATACGAATTAATTCTATATTTTTTTTTTTATCAATGCAAACTTATTGCATTTTTGTGAAAAAATTTATTTTTAATCGAATAAGACAATAATGCTATCATGCTATAAAATTTAATAATAATTTTCTAAAAATTAGAAGTAAATGATTAAACATTTTCTAATTAATAAAATTTTATTAAGATTTATTAAATGAGCTTTAAATGAGGTGAAATATAAAAGATAAAACAAAGAATAGTGAACGAGGGATAATAATTGATTGTCAGTTTAAAACAACAGAAACAGGAGTCTACCACCAACTCGGTGCAATACCGACATAATTATAGCGTTTAAAGTTACCGAATGGTTACTGAACTTTGTGAAGTATACCTCGCAACTGAAAAATTCGCATCGGCAAAATTTCTCTCTGTTATTGCGATACAAAATCCTTTCTTTCTCTAACCATCAATTTTTCAAATTAATCCAAGAGGAGAGTAGGTCTTATCTAATCTAGATAAACGTGTCCAACCGAAATGTAGAATATCCTAGAATCATATTTTAAAATTATATTTGAATGTTTAAAATAATTCTTAGTAATTTTAATAATTTACATTGTAAACTTTTTTTTTTTTTTTTTTTTTACAATTTTTGCATGCAGAATCATTTCCTGCTTATTCACAGCATTTGTTCTTACATAATAAAGTTTAATTTTTTACATAAATAATTTCTTACCAACCTTTCTAACTCATCGATATCAAACTTAATCGTCACAGTCTGTCAATCTTTCATCATCGCCATTCGCTTCTATTCATTTTGTGTATTACGCAATCGATGAGTAAATCTATTCTTCAGATGAAAATTTATGTCATCTCGTTGATATAAATTAAAGATATGTATTCACGCCTCGTGTGAACTTACGTTGACCGTTACGCGGCCAATGGCCGAATGAATTTGTCATCCAAAGGGATCCTTCTACACAACGAAGAGAAAGGAGCGAAAAGGAGCTCGAGCTCGTCCTTCATGTTTCTCGAATAGGCGGTCGATTCTCGCGGTGAATCGAACGTCGCTGCTTCGAGAGAATATATCCGATATCTTTGGAATGGGACATAGGTCCGAACAACGCGGCGGACATTGGCTGTACCTGTCTCCACGCATCGAAGTTTGCCTGCTCACCTGCATTCCATTAACTCTGGTCTGAGGGGGACCTTTATATATATTCAGGACCGTAGAGCGTCGATGGATCATATAATACCCTATTTGATATATATTCGTATATATATTTGGTAGAATAGTTTCATCTGATATTATTATGGATTAATTGACTCAAGTAAAGAAAATATAATTTTTATTATTTTATATTAAGTTTATTCAATGTTATTTAAAAATAGTTCATCTCTTCCAGAATTAATATATTTTATTTATCACGATATGTATAGATCTGGAGTTCAAAGTATACTTTTTTAGAAATTTTTATTTTTATTCCGAGACATAACCTCTTTGAGGTAGGAAAATTAATATGAACTTATTTAACGAGTGAGGGCGCAGATGCTACCGAATTAAGAGAATCAGTAACGTAAATAGAGAACGGAAATAAATTCACATGGTGGTTCAAAATAAAAGTAGTATCTTTCTCGATTATTTCATTTTCTCGATTTGCCTAAAATTTGCTCGGAATTCATGTGCTATGTACGAAACATTAATTACTCAACAACCACTGTGCATTCCTTTAACTAGGGAATGCTTTTTTGTAATCGATCAATCACGTGTCAAAGCAATTTTCTATTTTGATACAATGGATAAAATATTGTAAAGTTTCTTCTATTATTATAAATTTAT